CAAAAACCAGAATTGAAAAAGTGGAAAGCATAGCTGCTAAATTAAAACCTAAAAAAAATCCAAAAAAAGCCCAGAATAAATCAAAAGCTCAATTATTGGTAGCAAGCAGACAACTAACATCACAAGCACATTCTTCTCTCTTCTGGCAGCAGTGCAACTTTCTCTGCTTTATGAGAAAGCAGCAAACAATGTCTATGGCTTAAATTTGTTGTAGATTTGCTTAACTGTATACTGGAGATAACCAAATCAGATTTAAGCAGGGGAAAAACAGCCTGATACAGTCTGAGGGCTTGGTAATACCAGTGGTAGATCCCTCTGTCACTCTGAATCTATAAAAGAACACAAGGGTAAAGGCAGATCAGGGACAGAGTGATGATAACAGAAATCCAAAAGCAGAATAAATTGAAAGAATGAGAAAAAAAACAACAGGATTGTAATTACATTCATGTTCAAAGGAGTATGACCAACATCATGATGTAAAAGGCAAGTTTATAAGACAGGGCTAGTCTCTGCCAACCAACACAGAAAAGGAATAAATGCACAAAACTGCAGTGTGTAACTGCAAGGCAAACTGGCTGCTGCCTGGCCCTGCTGTGCTGGGTCCTCTCTCTGTAGCTCTGTGTGAAGCATTTTTGAGCTGAATGCTCTTGGCTGCATCTGAGGGAACAAATTGCAGAGTAATTATTTCCCACAATGGCCTATAGCAAAATGCCCGTGTCCTGCCAGGCTGTGGAATTGCTGGTGGAGTCAGGGTGGGGAAGTTGCTGTGGTCACAGCTAGGAAATGGATCCTGTTTGTGCTGGAGAATGGAGCAGTGGGCAGGCTCTGCCTCAGCTCTGCAGGTGCAGCTGTGTGTGTGGTGCCAGGCTTATGGCTCATACCATCTCTGGAGTGCCTCAGCCCTGAACACATCCAGGTTATAAAGCAAGTACTTTCTGCCTGCTTCAGAGTTCTGCCCTGTGTGTGGTCCTGGCTTAAGCTCTCTAATTGTTCTGTCTGATGCATCCATTTGGTTCTGCTTTTGTCTCTTAGAAATGCATTTGTGTGTTTCATATAATGCCAGCCACATCAGTGGTGCAGATGGAAGGCCACCTTCCCTGTTCTGTGTCCTGGTGAGTGCAGTGCAGTTGCTGAAGGATCAGTTTCTCCTCGCAGTCAGAGGGGTGCTGAGGAGTATTTGTTGGCAGCACTAGGAAATAAGTGTATTAGCGGATGAGCAAGATAAACAGAGACAGCTTTGCAGAGTGTCCATTAGCTAATGACATTTTGTACTGCTTGTTTCACTTTCAAGTCTATCTGTAGGGGTGCAGAGCTGAGGGACTGGTGTTTGTGAATGTTAGATTTTTTCCCAAAAGACGAATCACAGGCTGGAAGTGACCACTGTGGGGTATCTGCTCCAACCTCCCTGCTCCAGCAGGGCCATTCCAGAGTGCAGGGCACAGGATTTGTCCAGACACTTCTGGGATAGCTCCAGTGTGACAGCTCCACACCCTCTCTGAACAATCTGCACAGGGGAGAAGTTCTTCCTGGGCATCAGTTCCTGCTCGTTCCTTGTGTCCAAATGTTTGGCACCACCAAGCAGAGCCTGCTCCATCCTCTTGGCTTCACTCTCAGGGCCGGACACGCCCAGCTCCCTTGGCCTTTCCTCGTAAGAGAGATGCTGCAGTCCCTTCATCTCTTGGCCGGGCAGAACCAGACAGAATGTTTCTTCTGATCTGTTACTAAGTTAAAACACGGTTGTCTCCTCGGCCGGAATGTTGTGCTGGCTGCTGCTCGCCCTGCTGCCAGCCGCGGTGCGCCGGAGGGGCCGGGGCGGGGGCCGGCCGGGCGCGGGAGATGCCGGCGGGCGCCGCTCCGCCGCCGGGGCTGGCGCCGGCCCGGAGCGTGTGACGCTGCCGTGAGCTCACGCCGGGCCGGGCGGGGCGGGGCGGCCGCCGGCCCCGCACTCCGCTCGCCATGCGCCGGGCGCTGCCGCCGCTGCGCGCCCTGCTCGGGGCCGCCCGCCCGCCGCGGCTCCCGGCGCGCCGGGGGATGCGCGGCCCCTTGGCCGGGCGGAGCGGGCACAGCGCGGTGAGCGGGGCCGGGGCCCGGGCGGGCGGGCCGGGGAGCAGAGAAAGCGAAACGGGCGCGGCGGAGCGCGGCCGGGCCACCCGCCGTGCCCGTGGCCGGGGATGCCCGGGAACATCCTCGCTTCCCCGGGACGCCGGGATGGATTTCCCGGGCACTGCTGTCCGTAGTTCCCGTCCTGGGGCTGCGTGTGCTCTGGTCTTCCAGAGCGAACGAGGGAAACTCGTTCCGACTACTGCCGGCTCTGTCCCTGTGGTTGGGCAGCGCGGCACAGCACTCCGATCACCAACAATTTATTTACAGTCGAAAGGGAAACAAATCTGTTAACATCATTACCTCTGTATATCATTATATCTATCATATATATATATATATATGTTCAGTTCCTTTCTTAGTGCTTTCCCCCCCTTTAATACTTTCTTTTTCTTCTTACTAGTATTACTCACTGTAAAATTCCCATTTGTAATCTGTTATCTATACATCTGTTATTTGTATGTTGCAAAATTAACGTAAAGAATCGCATCTGCTGCAAAATTCTTCCAATACCAATGTAATTTCAGCAGTTTCATGCACCCATTCACAAAGCTGGGGAAGACTGCTGTACATTTATTAGCAAGCCTTCAGTGGTATCTCTCCAGCAGTTGCGTTATTTCTGACATAACTTTCCTGAAACAGGTGCAGACTATGTGGAGACAAGGACTTCAGTTGTTTTGTTCTTTAAATTAAAAGGGTGATGATTCTACAGAGGAGAGAGCAGAAGGCTTCAGGGGGAGTTCTTGCATGTAATGACAAAAACCCAGGCTAATTTAAATGAATGAGAATGCAATATATTTACAGTGTTGACGTTATTAACTCAGGCTGCCTAGGGGGGTGGATTTCCGCTGTTGTTTGATCTGCATCCCGATTCCCAGCAGTGCCTATCCCTGTGCTGTGCCCAGCGGCAGAAAAAATGTGGTGGGTGACTAACTGATGTGGAACAAAGTGCTGCTTGCGTGGGCAAAGTGCCCTTCTCCTGCACAGGAGACACGGCTGTGGGTGTGTTCCCTGAGAGCTCTGGTAGCAAAGGCTGTCCCACGTTCCAGGGCTGCAGTCCTCTCTGTGCTTGTTCCCCTCATCGTGCTCAGCCTTGGCCCTTAACCCTTCCCTTTTCATCACTGACCATAAATCCCAAGGTCCCTGTTTTCTGCTTTAGGCTCGGGAGAGAAATGAGCTTTAGATGATAGGTTTTGTTCCATGCTTTTCCAGCCTGATCCAGTAACAATTTCATTGCTCAGCAGTCCTCTCTCTGTCTCTCCTCCTTGCCCTTATCACCCAGCTCATCCTTCCTCGCTCTCCTTGCCAGGGCTCACCAAGTCCAGCTCTTCACTGCCTCTAAGGCAGGCAAGGAGATAGATTTTAGTAACTCGAGCAGCACCTTGGTTTAAGGAGGTGCTGATTTTCCCAGTTAGTCTGCCCTATGTGAAACTAGGACTGAAGCCATGTGTAGGAGCACAGCAGTCACTTGGTTGTAATCAAACTCTTGTGGAGCAGAACAGTTTTACTACAAACACCTTGTAAAGGAGCAGCCAAGTACAATACTTGTATCCAAGACCTGCCTACTACTGAAAAATCTACTTTTGCATATTTTGTTAGTATTCTGTGAGGGCCAAGCCATTAAAGTGTGACTCAGTGGCGCAGCAGCATGTATTTTGTACCTCTTGGCATCAGTTTAAGTTAATTTTTCCCTATCTTCTGAAACAGTCTGGACCTATTTGTAAGGCAAAATAGCTCTCATGAGTCTGTATGGATAAGGCAGAGGGAGTTGTGGTGCTCCTTGTGTCAATGTATTTTTAGCATGAAGATGTGTCTGTAAGGCACATTAAGGTGTGCAGTATTATAGATCCCCTGCTCTCACTGGAGGTGTCTGTTCTTAGGGGGCTTTAGCTGCTGTAAACTCTATTAAATATATGTAAGGACAGGCATAACTAATGGACCCTTTGATTTCATCCCTCCTTCCAGCTCAGCGTGCTGCCATCCTTTGGATTTCTCTTTGACATTGATGGGGTGCTGGTGCGAGGGAGGACCCCCATTCCTGCTGCCAGAACAGCCTTTCAAAAGCTGGTCAACTCTCAGGGACAGTTCCTGGTGCCCGTGGTCTTTGTCACCAATGCAGGCGACTGCCTGCGCCAGAAAAAAGCTGACCAGTTGTCTCACCTGCTGGGGGTTCCCGTGAGTCACCTAAATCCATTTACTTCATTAGCATGTTGAATGTGTCAGCTGTATTATATTCTATTCAGTGCTGCTCAGTTCATCAGGTCTGTTTTTCCCTTAAGCCTCCTGACATTCTTTGCTGAAAGTGAAAAGTGCAGTTGAAAGCTAATGGCTTTTCTACTGGTAAAGGCACTGGTTTTTCCAATAGGGAAGCTAAAGGTATTTCTTTGGAAAGATGGTAAGTAGGGATCCACAGGAGCATCTTTCCAGAATAATAGTCTTACTGGTTACTACCTGTCCTGTTGAAGGGTTAAAGAAATGTAAACTAAAAGAAGCTGATAATCTGGTACAATTAAATCAGAGCTGCAGTTTAGCACAGAGCCCACAGCTGGAATTAGTTCTGATACTCCTTCCCTCTTTACTTCTAAATTAATTTGGTGATCTTATAAAACCAGAAGAGAAAGGCTTGTTCACGTTGAATTGAGCTGGAAGCTGAAAGGGAGATGTATGATAATTTGTCAGTAAAGTATTTTTTTCTGGCTTATTATCAATACATCATTTGTGAAAGGAGAAAATGCTGATTGTTATGTAATTCCTGGAATCTCTCGCATCTGTTAATTGAATCTATATATAAACAACTTCTCTGAAAAACAACAGACTCCTTTTGTTTTTAAATCCCAAACAGATTTCCCAAGATCAAGTGATGATGTCACACAGTCCTCTGCGGATGTTCAAGAGTTATCATGAAAAATGTGTCCTGGTATCTGGACAAGGACCCCTTCTTGATATTGCTCAAGAGTATCTTTACAAAAAGAGTTTAAAAAAACCATCAACTTTCTGTCAAAGTGTTTTTCTTAATCAGGTTCAGGGGCTACTATGGATGAAGTGAAAATCAAATATTTCAACCCTACAAATGCAGTAATAAATAGTAATGGTAGTTCCTAGTATGGTGCCAAATTTATGTTTTGAATGTGGTTTTATACTAAGTGCCCAAAGAACTTGAATTATATTGATATCATGGTGGTATCAAAATTTCAAACTGTAACTTAATAACATTAGCTTTCGCATAAACATTGCTCAGGCTTCCATTAAGTCCCTTCTGCACTTTTTCCTTTAGTGGGATTTTCATTGAAGTTGGTGTAAATCATAAGTTGTAAAAATGTATATGCAACTTTTAAGCATAAGCTCTATTTGAAGTACAAAACTGAGGAAAAGGTATTGAGAGAACGTTCCAGTTAACAGTCAAAATTCATTAGGCCTGGTTAAGAGAGAAGCAGATGAGAAGACTGAAAACAAAACAGAAGAACTTTGGTCTCTCATTTATCAGCAGTGAGGCAATCACCTTTTTGTCTCACAGGAGGAAAATTTGTTTTTGATGTTGCTTTCATTGCTAACTAATTTGTCAGCTGAACACCTTTAGATGGTTAAGGTGGAATGAGCAGTTTGAGAAGCTTTTCCTGTGAGCAGCTGTGTGTCCTTAGCTGGTGTGCCCCAGCCTTGGTTTCTGCCAGCCCATCACCATTGACACCCTGCGGGAGAAACGCCCTCTGCTCGATGCAGTTGACCATGACAGAAGGCCCAACGTTCTGGTGAGTGAAGATTTTTGTTTCAAACCTCTCTGTTTGCTCCTTGCATGACATCCTATAACATTATTTAATCAATATTTAACTACCAAGCTAATGCTGATGTTCTTACATTGTATTTTGACTTTGCCTTTCTGCTTCCTTATTTGTTTTATTACAACATTCTCAAGAACAATTCTTTTCTCTTAGTAGTAATTCTTTAACCCAGCCTTTGATTTTGTAACCTGCTGTTGTGGGAAAGCTCACATAATCTAATACAGATACCTAATGCAAAATCTGTCTTGGAAAGCTGATTAGCTTCCTCAGAAAGTGTAGAAGGTAACATAAGCTTTTCCCTGTATATATGATTGTGTTGTCATTGTTTCTAACCCATGGGGTTGCTTTGATTGGAAATGAATGCTTTGAAGATAAATAATTTTCCCTCAAAGGGCTCCCTTTGGTGTTTATGGCATTATTGAAATGTCAGCAGTAGGTACAGTGGTTCCAGTTGAATTGTGCAGAATTTAAAGCAGAAGTGAATGGCTGGGTGTGCTGTACATGTTCAGGGCCAGCCTACAAAGTGGATTTCCCCCCACTTGTAGCAAGGACATTCTCTGGCACACAGAATCCGTAACTCAGCTCCTCACCCAAGTGGATGGGGGAGGTCAAGAGCCTGTTAAAGTGTTTGTCACCACAGAGAGTAAATAACGAAGTGAAAACTCTCAGTTGTTTAGCAAATATATTACATGTTATACAGTGCATTCTTTATTAGAAGTGTTAAATAAAAACATCTCAAAAACTATTTTTCAAATATCTTGGTACTACTGGAGGCCTCTTACTCCTGTGTAAAAATACACATTCATACTTTTATACACAAGTAGTTAAAACAACTAATTAAACAAGTAATTTAAACAACTGAAATTACAACACAAGTAATTTTAACAACTGGAGTTAAAAAACTCCAGGGGTAGTTGAGGAGAAGCAGGAGGCAGGTGCAGGTACAGCACAGTCTCTGCTGTCCCTGTGCCAGAGATGTCACTTCAGAGAGGAAACACAAGTTTCTGAGTGAACTGACGTCAGGTATACACCAATACAGAGTGCATTTCCTGCTGGAGGGACAGGAGGCAGCTCTGGGAGCTGTGCTTGAATTTATTCTGTTAAAAATAGATGTTTAATCTTGTAGAAAACTTTTACTTTTTTTTCTTATTGCAGTCCCCATCTGCTGTGGAGCTTCCCAAGATTGAGGGTCAGTTATCTTTATTTAACTTGCATCTATTCATTAATAAATGAAATATTTTATTTTATTATCAGAAATTATTTTTAGATTGTTGGGCACTTTGAAAATTTGTCTGAGACAATCCAAAAATTTCCTTGTTAATGACATCTGTCATTCATTTGAAAGCATCATGTGTTGTAAAGCTGGTTTTTATTGTGTGCAGTTTTCAGCCACTGGGTTTGAAGTTTGAAGGGTATATGTGAGGTCTCCTTTTCTTTTCATCTGCCTTTAACAGGCTGTTGTTGCCCTCCTTTCATAAATGAGGAATGAACTGATGTTCGTTATTCAGAAATAATTGGTCTTGTTCTTACAAGTAGTCAAGAGGCAGCTGTAGTATGAGTCTTGTGTTCACTCTTATCTCATCTGAACTGCAGGAAAGTAGAAATTGGACCTTAGGATTTTAAAATACCCATGTCAGATTATTGCTGGAGACCAAAGCAAATTTTAAAAACAACATCCAAATTTTGTTCTGAGATGAACAAATTAACATCTCTGGTGTTGTATTTAAATACTGTGTGTAAACAGAGAACTCATAAGTTATGGAAGACTTAGAAATACAATTTAGAAGTTAATATTGTAATTTCTGGAGAAACCTCACCTGTAAAATAAAATTCCTAAACCTGTAGATTTTGCAGTGGGGTCTTAATACTTCTGAGATTTTCTGTGAATGAATGGGCATGTGATATATGAAGCCCCTAAATTAATGTGACTGTTTGATAAGTTCCTGGTTATATTAAATGACTTGTCCAGTCTCTTTAGGCTAAGTTTTAGGCCCCGTGTCAGAGACTCTGTCAAAACTCCATGACTGTTCTGTACCTGTGGTTCTCACAGCTGTGGTGCTGTTTGGGGAGCCAGTCAGATGGGAGACCAGCCTGCAGCTGATAATTGATGTTTTGCTGACAAGTGGCTATCCTGGAAATCCCTATGGGCAGGAAAACTACCCTCACATTCCCGTGTTGGCCTGTAACATGGACCTGATGTGGGTGGCTGAGGCACAGTCCCCAAGGTGAGTGCTTTATTCATGTAATTGGGATTTATATGGGGCTTCCTTATTTTTCCAGTAGGTTTCAGAGCCGACACTTGAATACAGAATGTTTGATGGAGCTTCACAGCAGGGCTTGGCTTTGAATGCAACGTCTCTAATGCACTTTCAGCTAATGCTGCCTTGTTGCTGGCTGCATTATTGCATCCAGGAAATCAGTTCTCAAGAGAAAAGCTGCTTTTAAGCTTTAAACCCTTTTGTTTCCTCACTCCCAGAACAGTGGAGAAAGAGAGGTTTTCCTGAGGGCCTCAGAGCCTTCGTTGAAAAGCAAAAAAAAAAATAAATTATCAAGGTTATTGATTTTTTTTCATTAGGTCCCTCTTTGGTATTTATCTTTTACTGGTAGGGTAAAGGACTGACCCTGCTGGTTGAAAGCAGTGAGTGGTTCTGAGCTGAGGACAATGCAGTGAGCTCTTTAGGGAGCACATGAAAAAGCAGGTAGAACATGCAGAGCAAGGTGCCAGGACCTTTTAGAATGGTTTTGTTTGATTTTGCTTTCAATAGAATGTACTTCTTTAATAGGTTTGTTTCCCCTCCCTTCCCCTGTCTGTAATTTGAAATAGAAACTTGTTACTGTGACTTGATTGTTGTCTCAGCCCTGGGTCAAAGATCTGCTCAGATACCAGTCTTTAGAAGCAGAGGCTATTTCTAATTAGCACTTTGGAAAAGCACTTTGGCTTCAGGCTACAGTAAGGCAGCCAGGATACCTCCAGTGAACAATTTTAAAATTATATAAATCTGTTGTGCCATCCCAGTCATGTGGGTTTATTTTGGTGTCTGTTTTTCATCTAATCAGCACTTAATTTTCAGTGAACCAGCTGCAGAAATGTTGCATGCTGAGTGGAATTTGACAGTTGCAGGACACAATTTATTCCTAAAAAATAATGAAGTAAAAAGCCTTGTTTGATGTTTTAAATCTGTGCTTAACGTAATTTGATTTGGTATTATATCTGTGTAGGTTTGGGCACAGAACGTTCATGGTTTGGATTTATATCTGTGTAGGTTTGAGCACAGAACATTAATGGTTTGGATTTATATCTGTGTAGGTTTGAGCACAGAACATTCATGGTTTGGTTTTATATCTGTGTAGGTTTGAGCACAGAACATTCATGGTTTGGTTTTATATCTGTGTAGGTTTGAGCACAGAACATTCATGGTTTGGATTTGTGTCTGTGTAGGTTTGGGGATGGACCATTTATGGTTTGGTTTTATATCTGTGTAGGTTTGGGCACAGAACGTTCATGGTTTGGTTTTATATCTCTGTAGGTTTGGGGATGGAACATTAATGGTTTGGATTCTTATCTGTGTAGGTTTGGGCATGGCACGTTCATGGTTTGCTTGGAAAACATTTACAAGAAGATCACTGGCAAGGAGCTGAAGTACGAGGCGTTGATGGGCAAGCCCAGCAGGCTGACATACCAGTATGCAGAGCACCTGATCCGTGCCCAGGCCCTGCAGAGGAGCTGGGAGCAGCCCATCCAAACCCTCTATGCTGTGGGGTAAGCTGTGCTGAGCCCCACAGGTACAGCAGGGAATCCCAGACCCTCTGTGCTGTGGGGTCAGGTGTGCTGAGCCTGACAAATACACCAGGAAATTACTCACAGTGTAAATGCCAGCCAAGAAAAACACACAACTCTTACCAGCTTGTTTCGCCTACCATTAAGACCATCTAACTTTCTTGGTGGTATGCTATATTTCTTGTGACATTTCTAATCTTAAAAATTAGTGATGCTTTGCTGTTTTTATGTGTAATTTCTACAGAAGCACAGAAGGTGTTTTATATGCAACTAAGATTTCTCCTGATTTTTTTTTTCTGCAATAGGCTGTGTAAATCTAACAACAAAGTTTTGCCTGGGTGTTTATTCTATTAGGTTGAGTTGGTGTAACACCAACTGCCTTTGAGCAAAGGACAGTTAGATACTGTAGAGCTAGACTTTATCTCTTAGGTCATTTAGGTTGGTCATATGCTACTGCGTGTGTTGCCACATCATAGAACCCTTTTCAGAGAAGAAGATAAAGCTGTATTGTATTAAAGACTTTCAGAATCTCCAAGATGTTTGGAAATATAATAAGGTCATTCATGGGCTGCTCATACCTCGATTTTCTCTCCCCTTGCCCTGATCTGCAATATGGAGAGTGATTAATTTTTTCATGCTTCATGAAAATGGTGCAATAAGATAGCTGCAGGGCTGGACTTCTGCGTGTCTGCCTGATTCCACACCAAGTGGTGTAAAGTATACAATAAACTGTTGGATGGGAATGGTAAGAATGCCTTTTGAGAGCTGAAGCTGCAGTGCTGACTGAGTTTCTGGTTTCAGGGACAATCTGATGACGGATGTGTATGGAGCTAACCTGTACAACCGCTACCTGCAGGAGAGCTCCAGGACAGGCTCCAAACCCCGTCTGCAGGCCAAGGCTTCTGCAGGCAGAGCCCCTGCCCTGCTCCCCCAGGCCCACGAGCCTGGCCTCAGCTGGCAGAACGAGCTGGCACCTGCAGCTGCTGCCTGCTGCAGGTCTGTGCTGGTCTGTACCGGGGTGTACAGCCCCCACGGCGAGGTGGCCCTGCCCACCAGGGACAGCATCACTGAGAACGTCTTCCACGGCCACAGGGATTTCACCTTCGACCCCGGCTTGGTGGAGCCAGACCACATTGTGCCAGATGTGGATGCTGCTGTAGACCTGGTCTTCCAGCTGGAGAACTTTGCACCTCATTGAGGTACATAATTTCTTAAGGACCACTCAGTGCTGTGCTTTTCTTGCCCAAAACACACTGTACTTTACAAGAGTGCCACAAACTGCTGCCTTCTAAATTTTTTGCCCTCTGAATTAATACAACCTTCTATTAGGTATGCTTATCAGTAGTACATATAGGTACATGTGTGTATTTAATTATATTAAATGTCAATAATGCTTTTTATAGAGCTTCTAAATATGTAATTTATGGCTGGAGTTGCTCTTTACTGTCTTCCTCTTTGTTATGCTAGGGACTTTAACAGCAATATTTCATAGTAGCCTATTCATGTACTGGTACTTAAATCCCTTCATGACAGTACCTCCTTTATTTTGCTGGAAGATTTAGCTTTCAGGTGTTGAGGATCTTGAGGATATGAGATTGTGGTGCTGGGTTACTCAGCCCACTCCACGTGGGCTGGCACAGAGCACAACATGTATTATTGCCTGGCATTCTGCAAGTACTGAATGCTCCCTTCAATCAGAGTGCAGTTCAATTTGTTCCACCTTGGACTTGCTCTCATCTGACCTGCTGCTGCCTTCCTCGTGTCTCTTTTCCCATGTCCCTGGAGTTTTATTGCTCTTCTCTGCTGTGTGAATCCTTAACTGTGTTGGAACTCCCTAGTCCTGGAAGGGAAGCAGATCAGGGTGCCCTCTGTAGCTTTTTTGCTCTTTGCCTTTCTATCTCCACTTTCTTTTTTTGCACTTTTTAAAATTTTTTTAAATTTTTTTTTAAGGAATTGTGAACCTTAGAAAGCTTTAGCAGTTTTGTTTCATGTGTTTCTGTGAGTTGGGACTTTATACTGAATCAGTGACTATTGCTCAGCCAAAAAGTGCCTCCTAATTTACTTGAAGCCACTGTGGTAATTAACTGGCCTTTAGTGTAATATATTTCATCTCATGTCAATGTTATGTGTTGTTTGGTTCATGGATTTTATAGCTGTTCGTTTAAAAAGAAAAAGTAATTTATTTTTTGTTATTTTTGTAAAATGCTTCTAAAGTTTTCATCCCAAAGATGCCTTTGAAAATATTTCTGTGTTATTTGTTATAACACAGAAGCTTGTGACATAAGTTTGGAAAACAAAACCCAATTAATTGTTTTAAACCAAAGTCAATTTACACACAAAGATCAATTCACATTAGGGAGTAGTTAGGTTTTTGAGATGGGTTTTTAAGGCTTTTTTTCTCAAATTAGAAATTGTACAAACAAAACTTGGGAGTTCATTTCTGCCAGCTTCCTGCAGGGCTGTCAGAATGACTTCCTGGCCAAATCCTTCCCTGCTCCTTATCCCAACAGCAACTCTGAGAGCTCACAGCTGCTGTGTAGTCAGATTTTGTTGCTGTGTTTCCTCTCTTTGCAGAGCACTGTAATCCCCTCTCCACTGTCAGGATTGTTGATTCATCTCTTGTAATGTTTCCTAAGCAGCTCTCAGTGTCTCGCTGGATGCAGTGTAAGGACACTGCTCTGAACAGTTCATTTCCTGCTTCTTCACTGGAAACCTATTTACAGCAGCACATTCTTGCCTTTTTATTGGTACAATGAACAGATAGCCACCTGTTTCTTTAGATATCCACCTCTTTCTTTACTTTTCTGTTAATATACCAAGTATTTGCAAAGAATGCCAAATCTAAGTAAAGATTGTAGTTTTGGAAGGTCAGGGTAATTTCAAGTCACATTGTTTCAGTACTAAAGCAGTACTCTCTAACTTTACCAGAATTGGTGAAGCAAGGAATAAAAATGTTTGAAGTTGCTGAAGAACAGAAAATGTTCTGTTTGTTTCTCCTTTTTTCTCTACAGTTTGGACAAACACTTCAAAATGTTCATGAAGGAACTGTATATAGACCTCTTAGGTCTCACCCCTCATGGAAACATTAACATAAAAGGTGTTTATAGAACAGGAAGACTGACTCTTTTTCTCTGGCATATCACCAGTAAAATCTAAAACCCTCCAGCCTCAGAGTATTACAGATTCTCCAGCTCCATGGACTGACCTCCAGCTTGGTGAGGGCAGACCTTCAAAAAGCCAAAATACTGAAAAAACAGCAGATGAAGGAAATAAAGGAAATTAGAAAATAGTGACCTGAATAACACTACACACACAAGTCAGTCACCAAAAGGGGTGGAAATCTCTTCCCATCAGTGTAAAGGGGAGAAACTGGGATTACAAGAGTTTCTCAGCAACTCAGTGGTGTGCTGGTATTCTCTGTAACTTGAACAGCAATGGGGACTAACAGATATCACAGCATATCTCACACAGTCTGTACTACAATCTTCTGTCTAGACAAAGATGGATTCTTGGGTGATGAACTATATCCTGTTTTCAATGTTGACAGAAACAGGCTGCAGACTTAAAAAGTTTCAGGAAAGTGTTTCTGTGGTCACTTCTGTGAGCAAAAGAGATTAGTGCATATTCCAAATAGCACAGGTGAGTTTACTTCGTGTAAAGATTGGTTTAATTTGTCTAATTCAGACCACCTGGGACTCAGCTGATCTTAATTAAAAGTTCTCCTCCTTGCACTGTATTGTCTTTTATCCAAGCTCATAATTCAGTACTGGGTTCATGCTAAACATGTCTTACAGTTTAACACCCAGCAGGTGATTTATGTATTTATTGGTTTATTTATTGACCTGTTCCTGAAGCAGAAGCAGCACCTGGAGTACAGGTAAGAATTTCTGTAACCTAAGAATCACATTTTCAATAGGATTTGGGATTGGTGTCTTGTTTTATGGAGTTGTATCTGGGAAAATGCTTTCTGCTACTTCAACACCTAACTTCCTGCCCACAGATGTGGAGAAAAAATATTCAGTTAACTATAAAAAATACAGGTATTTTTCTGCAGGTACAAACTACATAGTGAAAAGTCAGTTCACCAGAGCAAATGAGAAATGGTTGTAGTGTGTGTAGATGTCTTGTACCCAAAGTATTTCGTTTTCTTAGAGAATTCCAGGAAATGAGAAAAAAAATTTAAGTGCTCATCTCATGCACTTATAACAAGCCATTAAAAGGAAAAGTTGGGTTTTTTTCCCCATGCAGATTTAGAAACTCCAGTATAAATGTGTAGAACATGAGAAAATCCAGGTCAACCCCTCCCAGGAGCAGGAGATGTTACTCATGACACCTGCACGATTTCCCTCTCTCACCAATTCCCCAGCACACCAGTGCCAGGCCGGTCACAGCCACAGCGTCTCAGCAGTAAAAACGTGTCCTTAAAGAGAATAAAGTGACAAATTCAGCTGCACCCAGCACTCTGAGGAGCCAGCTCTAGAGCCTGGCCATTGCACTGACTCCTCTTTTGACACCTGAGGCTTTACTGAAGCAGCAGACAATGCAAACCAAGAAATTCAGTATTTGGCTCCTGCAGATCACAAACTCCTATCTGCTGACGTTCAAATTAAAGAGCCAAGCAAAAAGAAAGGGGTGTTGCTTTGTTTAATTTACAGCACTTCAACCAAATCCAGGATCTAAACACTCCCTAGGGGAGGTACAGTTGTTAATTGTTCACACTTAATTGCAAGCACTGAAAAAGGTATGTGCACTCCTCCAACACTGAGAATTTCAGATTTCATTTCTCATCTTCCAGACAGCTCTGCTGGAGAGTTTGCTAAGTGGGAACAATTGAAAGTACATGCATTTCTGGAAGTGATGAAGATTTGGGAGGATTAGAGGAAGTTATTTCAGCACCATTTGTTTAATTAAGGGTACATGAGGTCATATCTTGTGTAAAAGTAGACCATACAACACTGTAGGATAGGATATATAATTTCTTAGAATTGATTTTTCTGATCATATACCACAAGGTACCCGTATAAAATAACAACAAAAGGTATTAATTGCCAAACGTTTACTTTAATTAAACCTTTTTAATGATACACAGTGCAATATATCCACTACTTTGCTAAAATTCACAACAAAAGCAGGTTTCATGTTTAAAAATACTTTTCATAATAAATTCATAAATAGATGAAGGTAAAGTATAAAAAATTACCGTAGTATGCAAGCTTGCTCCCTTGTCTCCTCATATTCAAATCATTTCGTCAGTATTGTGATAAGAAAGTTTAAAAGCAAAATAGATACTGATGATTAGAAATGTACAGCCTGCATCTCTCGAAGAAACCTTGAAAAGCAACAGATTTGTCCTAGAAAATGCAGAACCATTTTAACACTGTTATCACCCAAACCCCTGAAATAATTTTGGAATGCAGTGAATGAATTCAATATGAATTAGAGATTTTTTCCTTCCCCCCCCAGAGGTGTGTGTGAGCCAGACTGGCTGGGATGCTCCCTTCTCTGGAGTTGTGGGGTTTTTACCTGTCAGATCTCAGCGAGTGAGGCACAGGAGAGGGAAAATCTGGCTGACAGCACAGAACACATCTGCCTATCAGAAATCTCAAAGAGAAATCTTTAAAAACACTTACAAAGAACTAAATTCACCTTCTGCTCAGTACCAGCCTGTATCTACTTTCTGTCTGGCAGGCAGGACAGGGTCTGGTGTTCCCCACTGACTTCCCCTGTTTTGGGAATGGTTTCTGTGTCTCACATCATTCCAACACAACTCTGTGGGAAATCTTTGATACTGCACCACCAAACCCTATTAGCAAAATTATTCTCATCAATATTATCACTCTCCTAAGAAAGCATTTATTTTGTCAAGTATCAATCTACTTTTCACACTTTATCTATTTTAATATCATTTATAAAGGGAAAGATCTTAGTTACGCACAGCATTGAACTACGAAATGAACATGAAAAACGCAGAAAAATCAAGATGCTCTGTCTTTCACATTAATTATTTTCTTTCTCTGATAATTATTTCCCTTTAGTGCAAAACCATTTCCACACAAGTTCTGTGCTTTATTTGCAATGGTATTGAGATGCTTTTGAAGACATTGGGAGGCATCTGTCTGCAGCTTTCATGTCTGTGTAAATTCAGCTCTTGGCTCACTTTTAAAAAATGTCTTCAAGTTTTCAAGACAAGTTTGCATGCCATGCCCAAAGGACAATCTTCCAAACCCTTGTTTTCACATATGACAGTCTAGGCACCCAAAAGGAGCAAGAGCTCTGCTTTTGGTGAAGCTCCTGGAAATCTATCAGTATTAGCTAATAGGAAAGCTTTTAGTGCTTTTAGCTGGGCTTCATTTAGATTTTCACCCCTAAAAAACCTGCTTGCCAGCACAGTGACAGTAAGAAAATCATCAGGACTTCTCCTCTCTTAAGTATGCTCATTTTTCTCAAATTCTGCTTTGCAAAGCAAATGTTAGCAGGTTTCTAGGCCTATATATTTTGTTTTATATTTGCATAATTATAAATATTTGTACAAGTTCCACCCTTGATGATGGACTGGATGAGAAACTGGAGATAAAATTAGCTTAAAATTAATACAAAGGGTAACAAAGGCTCGTGGGAACCACATTCTGCTGATGATTTCATTTCAGTATCTGCTTCTGCATTCCACTCCCAAGTGCTACAAGGCAGAAATCAATGTCCCCTTCTGTGCTTTTGTAATATTTTTGCACACTCTGGTACTGCCAAAAAGACATTATAAATACAAGTGCAAATACATGATCAGCCAAGGGGATCTGCTAAAAAGCAATTACTGCACCATAGCCTTGTTAATGTTCAACTGGCAGTAAACAGATTTCTTGGCA